TGTTCAACCAGCAGAGAGCTTTCAAATATTGAAAAACTATTTCTCCATTTTTTATATTTGCAATTAAATAGCTACAGACACAGTTACACTTTTTAGTTGAGTCTGTTGTCAGTATTTTCCTGATTTCTTCTCGAGTCTGAAAACATAACAATATAATAAATTACATATTTGCTGATTTCAGTGTTATAAATACTCTCATTATGGTCAATTTCAAGTTACCAAGGTCAGGTCATTGATTCTCTTTGAGGTAACAAAAACTATATTATTTCCTTAGTTTATAAATTGTCAAATCAGTAAATGCAAGTTTTAGGTGCACTATATTAGTCAACTTTATACTTTATATAAATCCTAATTGTTTTACCCCTAGTCCTCAGTAGGACCAGTTGCAGGTGGGAATGTGCTACCAAGGAAAAAGGAAAAAGTATAGCTGGCTTCTCTCATTCTTGCTTATCACCTCCACACATACTAACTGCTATTTCTGACCTTCCCATGAAACTTCTGGGCTGATTGAAACTATTGTAAAAAAGGATTTATGAGATCTCTGAGCCCAGAGTGAGATGTTGAAAGTTGTTTATTTTTGTTTTGTTTTTAACATATTCTCTGATAGATATGTCACACCACCACCATTAACAATAATGGCCAAAGATGACACGTTTTTTTCTACATCTTTCTGGTGCCTTTCCACCCTTGATTGGTTTCTGTTTGTGTTTTGTGTTTGCTTTGTCAGTGCAGTCACAGACTCTTCCTGCTGGGGAGTCTTGTCAGGATTTAAAATGGCTCCAAGCTGACCTCCTACACAGCCCTCTTCTCTTCCATGGAAAACATATGTACATATATTTATCCAAAAAAAAATTCTGAAAGTGAAAGCCAATTCCAATACAACACTCACTTTCCTTTGTTCTGGAGAACCCATTTATTTTCTTTTGGATTGTCCCAACAGGCATCAGACACTCTTTCTGGCTGCTGGACTCACTGTTGGAAACACATACAGGATTCTCAAAGAGCCTGTGGAAGCCCCTGTCTCTATACTTAGGCAGAGAAGCTAACATACCTGCTGCTTTCCCTTGGGTCAAGGAATTGTGTATGCCTCTGTGTGCATGCGTGTGTGTGTGTGTGTGTGTGTGTGTGTATACAGGTGACGTGTGGACAAAAGTAATACCAGGACAGTTTTTTTCAAACAAACTTTCCAGACAAAATCTCTGCCACTATCAGTTCTGTTTACCTAACTCTATCCTTACAGTGTGCTCAAGACGTCTGAAACTGATTTAGGTCTACATTCTGTATAAAGTTATGCATACTATCTAGTATTATCAGACTCAAAACCATCTCTTTGTCATTCAAAAGCCAATAGATGGAAAGGAGGGTTGGGAGGAAGGTGGCAGGGTGCTATCTTTATAAAGAAAATCCACAGAGCTGAAATGACCTCAGCAACTGGTTCCTGTGATCCTGCAGCAAGGCTTTCAAATGGATAGCACAGAGTAACAAGCAGGAGTTTAGTAGAGAGAAAGTGAGATAAGCACATTGTGCATGCACTGAATAGATGTCTCTGAGACAACGATGTAGTTCTTACACAGAGTCTGGGTTTATAAAGGAATTGGGGTCCCTCTGTTCTTTCCCTAGTTTCTCATATCCCTTTAAGTGTTTTCTTGCTCTTTGTATATCCCTTAGCAAATTTTCTTTGTCAGGGTTCTGATGACCTCACAAGGGGTGACTCTGATAGTTGTTACATGATCTTGAAACAATAGATCCCGTAAGGGGTTATTATGAACTCTACTGGGGGAGGTTTGACATTCCAATTCACATATTCCAGATATTTGTCTCTTTTGATCAAGTTTTCTGCTATCTATAGTCCTGACTTATGGACTTTCTTTAGATGGATATGTCTGATGTCCTCCCTGTAAATTACTGTCCTTCATTGTCCTCTCCCTATGCACCTGCTCCTGGCTGACTATCTACCTAATACTTTCTTTCCAAACAAAGGTCATCTTAGGAAACTCAACTGCTAAAATTGGCTTTTAAAGAGAAGGAAGGCTGGTAGTGAGATAATGGGAAGACTTCATGCCACGGGTGGCATTCAGATTCAGGAACCTTCTTCCATCACTCAGGGCATGTTTTCCTTTCTTTTCTGCCAGTGTGATAATAATTGATCATTATCTTCTAGGCCAGTCCCCTTACCTCTTTGTTTTTTTCCCCACAATTCTTTAAACAAGCACATATTTCCCCACAAATTGAACATTAGTCTGCTTTTAATTAAAGAACAGGATTTGCAAATCCTGGGCCTGAACTTTGACGTTATTTGGAGAGTATCAGATATTCCAAATTCTGAAAAACTAAAGATTATGGATTAGGAGGTCCTGGTACAAATATTTTTCTAGTTCCATTTACTGCAAGAACTGATGGTTGCAGTTAGTGTCCCAGTCACTTAAAGGCTGACAAAATGTGAATCAAAGGGGAAAAACAAAGAATAACTTTAGCAGGGTCAATTTGCATAGTAGAACTAATCTAGAATAGGGTAGCACAAGACACATTCCATTGCCAATATCACTGTTTTACTACTGTCTACAATGTAATTCAGTCTTTTTCTTGATATCTTACACAAAACTTGTATTTTACCCCTTTATTACACTATAAACAAAGTTATCATCTTCAAGAATTTTTGATATACTCTAAAAGCTATTCTCATATCTCAATAGCCAACCTACATGCCCTTCAGTGGATGGATGGATAAAAAAAAATGTGGTATATATATACACAATGGAATTTTACTCAGCAATAAAAGAGAACAAAATCATGGCATTTGCAAGTAAATGAATGGCCTTGGAGAAGATAATGCTAAGTGAAGTTAGCCAATCCCCCAAAAAACAACCAAATGTTTTCTCTGATATAAGGAGGCTAACTTATAGTGGGGTAGGGAGGGAGAACATGGGAGGAATAGATGAATTCTAGATAGGGCAGAGGGGGTGGGAGGAAAAGGGAGGGGGCAGGGGATTAACAAGGGTGGTGGAATGTGATGGACATCATTATCCAAAGTACATGTATGAAGACACGAATTGGTGTCAACATACTTTATATACAACCAGAGATATGAAAAATTGTGTTGTTTATGTGTAATAAGAATTGTAATGCAATCTGCTGTCATTTATTTTTTAAATAAATTGAAATATGAAAAAAAGAAAATTTACACATGGATAGAAAAAATATCGTTCATACAATATTTGTTATAATTAGAAATTAGAAAAAAAAACAAAGTATATTTAACAGGCAAAGTCAAATATATCCTGATTAAGCTTTCTAGAAAAATCATCTCTCAGCATTTTATTTTGCCCCCATGTAAATGAAAATATAGACATAAATAGCTAGACTCTCTTCATCTTGTGGTTACTAGAGTTCTCTGTCCCTGGTCTCCTTACATTCTACATGGTGGTCATACTTTCCTGTTGGCCAGTTCAAAACTTTATTGTAATTTTAATGGCAGCATGCATTCTTTTTTATGAATATATTATTTTTGCTTAACTAATCAATCATCTACTATTGAATATTTGGGTGCAATTTGTTTCTATGTAAACTGCAGTACTTTGAACAAATTGTATGTGTATCATTTATATTGATTTATTTCCTTTCAGTAACCACAATAATATTGCCTCTTGTGGTGTGCATTTGCATTTTAATAGGTATTAAGCCTTAAGCCAAAGGCACACATTTCTAAAATAGAAATTCAGGTATCAGTTAATGGGAAAAGGATATATTTGAGGGACATATTATCCCTTTCTGTTCCTGGAGAAATCTTAGTAATTAGACAATTGCCTGTGACTGCCTACTCATGCATCTCAATCAAATTATGTGTGTTATTCCTATGATAAGCCTCTTTTAATTATTAATATTTTGGCAAATAATCTAAAACCAAGTTATTTCTAAAAATATTCATTTGCAATGATCCACAGAAATTCTAGATGCTTATGTAAAATTCATTTAAAGTTCTCATATCTGCTGAATTAGGTTAGCAATCATACTTAATAGTCTCTCTTCTGCATTCCATTGGTTCATTCTCTTGGATCATTTGAAAAAGTTGTTATCCCCCAGAGAATTATGTAATAAAGTAGTAAGAGTGGAGAACAAAATGCAGATGATGCATTATATTATTAGGGTTTTAATATTTATTAGAATTTTAAGAAAAGCATAGATTTTTTTAAGTTATCTATCTCGTAGTTTACAATTTCTTCAGTCTTCATTCTGAGGATTTCTAGAACTTTTAGAGAAATACCATAATAATACAGGATAGAAGTGCTTTTGTTTCACTGGTATTGCACATTACAGTAAAACACTTGCATAAGTAAAACGTGCATTATAAATGTGGATGAGTTTAAGGAAAGTGCACTAAAGATTCTGAGCTGAAATTGTACTCTTGTCCAACTTCTTAGTCTCTTAACCTTCACTCATGGTAAAATAGTGTACATGACAATTGCCTTGAAACTAAAAACTATAAACTTTTACAAAGTCCCATTCTAGACTGCTCAATAAAATGCACAGAACTGGAAAATGTATGCTATATTGTTGAAAGCTGAGAACTTTTTATTAGACTTTAATTTTTTTAAATTTAACTATCTTTACAGTCTATCAAATTGCATCTCCCCCGCCTGCAGTAAGAATGCTTCCTTATATGGTTAGTTTAAAAGTTTAAATAATTATAAACCAACGGCAATATTAAATAAAACTCAAATTTATCTGTCATTGAAAAAAATGATGATAAATCACCTGTGACGTGAAGAAAAAAAATTGAGGTCAAGATAACTTTGTAATTAATAAGTATTGTGTAATATTTAGAGAAGCAGTATTTTATTTAATATTTGCAGTCACTAGAAGGAACCATTTGGCATAAATCTTTCATAATTTATATTATTGGAGGGGGGAAAAAACGATCCTGTGCCTTTAATTTCCCTTTCTGAGCAAGGGAAGGCTGCACACCACTGACAAGCTCACTTGTTCCTGTCTTTAATGTGCAATCTGTTTTCTCCAGCGGAGGGCACTCAGTGTATCACAAACTCAAGCATTAGCACCAACAAGCTCTGAGCATCATCAGTCTCTGGAAAGCCTTCTGAATTAGACAAGGGCTGCCTCTCAGCACAGCTACAAAACACTTTAAACCTGACCAGCTAAATGGATAAACCTAGCCTGCATAGCTTTTAAACTGGGGTCTCATACAGCACAGGAGGCCTGCTTGCTTCAAGAACTGAAAATCCAGAGGATGAATTGCTTTATCTGGGAATGGCAAAAGCCAGCACAATAAGGAATGCCAGGTATTCTGAAGATTTTATTTTTTTCCTCTCTTTTCACAGAGAAGTTGGTTACCTCCGAGATGGGGCTGTAGCTCTTTTGCACAGATTGCCAATTACTGCTGATGGGTCTCTGGTGAATTACACAATGGTCCTCAGAGCCTAGAGGCCCTCCCCCCTTAGCCCCCCCCCCCCCAACGGCTTCCTCCTCCCTGCCCCTTCATCCCACCCCGTGCTGATTTTTTTTTTAATATATATGTATATACATATTTTTTTGCCTGTCTTCTCCGGGGAAGTTTGTATGGGGCTACTAGCTCACATGCGGGATCAGAATGGTGTGAATGACAGCCGCATGAAGGTGGTGGTGATTTCAGCACGAGAGACCAAATAAGAAGAAAGCTGAGAGAGGGGGGAAACGTTTTTGGATGACAAAGGATGGGTAAGTGAACTTTTGTTGTTTCCTTCTTAGCAAAGCTGATCCTCTTGCTTTCCTATCCTCAGTCCTGGCATTAGCTGATAAAAGACGTGGAAACAGGCAAAAAGCGGCAGGCTTGAGTTTGCCAGTTGACTCACTAGAGTTGCTATTATATTTTTAGATCATTTTCCTTTTTGCAGTGTTTTTTTGTTTAATCCATAAATGCATAACGCGGACTTAAACAGACTCTAGAGAAATATCTTTAAGACCGTCTCTGCCGCCTGCGTATCCACAGCTTGGGAATTGAGCAGGAGATAAATATTGTGTTTGCCTCTGTTCCTTGTTAATATTAGCCACGCTTGTATTTCTGGTTGCTGTCAGGAAGATTGTTAACACTTTACTGCGTGTGTGTGTGTGTGTGTGTGTGTAGGGGTGGGGTCCTGACTTTATCAAAGGTTGCACAAGGGCTTGTTTTATCTTTGAAGCTGTATCCTGAACACAGCTTCCAAATTTCCAGCAGTCATTTGCCAGTCTTATTTTTTCAAGTGTGACTGGCTTTATCCCCCCCCTCCCCTTTCTACTGTCTGGGAGAGCTGGAATGTATTTCAATGAGTCTGTAGCTGGCAAAAGGACAGAGCAAGATCGAGTTTTAAATTAAAAAAAAAAAAAAGAAAAAGAAACTTAACTGTTTGAGAAGAAGGAGGGTTTTTAGATTAGGGTTTGGCTGAATGCCTCTCGGTTAAAATATGAATATTAAAGAGAAAAAAACTGCAGCACATGGTAGTTTTTTTTTTTTTTCCACCATTAAGAAATAATAAATCTACTGTCGACCAAGGAAAGAAGTCCCTTAACATGCAATGACTTGGAAATGCAGCATAAGTGCCAATAGATTGCAACTTTGCAGGCTTTCTGAAGTTAATGGAGGCAGGGGAGAAAAATAAGTCAGTGAGAAATGTGAGCAGTTCCGGATAGTGGGGAGGGGGCTAGGAGTCTGCCGTTTCTTTCCTTGTTTATCCCTGAAATTTGCAAAAGCAACTCTGAAAAATAACAGCAAACTAATATACACAAGATTATTTTGCATTTTATGCAACTATTTAGTAAGAATTTGACAATCTTAACTTTGGAGTGTTGTCTGATAAGGGTGTTTATGTCTCCTAGCTCATGTGTCACTGGGGTTGGAATCACAGTATGCAACAATATATGCTTATTAACAAATCCAGACTACCTCATGTTGTTATCAGTCTTCACACTATGCACCATGGGCTGCCTATGCTAGTCCCAATGCCATTTTTCAGAGCTCCTATCTTTCCATCCCATTACGCAATAAGTGTACGAATTCAGGCAGGACAAACTTGGATTACCTTGACAGCTTCCTGAAGCTCCTTTGCTAAATCACAGGCTCTTTGCTCAACTAGGAAAGATGTGCAAGTACTGGCCTTACCAAGTCACACTTTTGCAGTAGTACATTTCCTTTTGATACTGTTGTTCAACACAGTTAACTAGCCAAATATTATTATTAATTATTATTAAAATCTCAGCTTCCAGTGAAAAGAAAGGCTCTGTGCTTTTCTGTTGAGATACATATACAGGAACTCCTGAAACTCGGAAAGCCTTTTCTTAGTTCTACAGCTCTGTGGTGATTTGAAGATCAAGGAAGAAAGAATGAAACCTAAACAGCAAATATGCAACACTGAAGAAAATGATGCTTTAGTTAAATGTGTTCCTAAATCAACTGCCCCATTACTGCACTAGACAAAATGCCCCTGATGTGAGTAAGCTGGTGGTGATGTATTTTAATAGCTTCACAATGTACATCTGTCTTCTTTTTAATATTGTAGGTTTCCATTTAATTACGCAGCTGAAAGGCATGAGTGTGGTTCTGGTGCTACTTCCTACACTGCTGCTTGTTGTGCTTACGGGGGCTCAGAGAGCTTGCCCGAAGAACTGCAGATGTGATGGCAAAATTGTGTACTGTGAGTCTCATGCTTTCGCAGATATCCCTGAGAACATTTCTGGAGGGTCACAAGGCTTATCATTAAGGTTCAACAGCATACAGAAGCTCAAATCCAATCAGTTTGCCGGCCTTAACCAGCTTATATGGCTTTATCTGGACCATAATTACATTAGCTCAGTGGATGAAGATGCATTTCAAGGGATCCGTCGACTCAAAGAATTAATTTTAAGCTCCAACAAAATTACCTATCTGCACAATAAAACATTTCACCCAGTTCCCAATCTCCGCAATCTGGACCTCTCCTACAATAAACTTCAGACATTGCAATCTGAACAATTTAAAGGCCTTCGGAAACTCATCATTTTGCACTTGAGATCTAACTCACTCAAGACTGTGCCGATAAGAGTTTTTCAAGACTGTCGGAATCTTGACTTTCTGGATTTGGGGTACAATCGTCTTAGAAGCCTATCCCGAAATGCTTTTGCTGGCCTTTTGAAATTAAAGGAGCTCCACTTGGAGCACAACCAATTTTCCAAGATCAACTTTGCTCATTTTCCACGTCTCTTCAACCTCCGTTCCATTTACTTACAGTGGAACAGGATTCGCTCAATTAGCCAAGGCTTGACATGGACTTGGAGTTCCTTACACAACTTGGATTTATCAGGGAATGACATCCAAGGAATTGAGCCGGGCACATTTAAATGCCTCCCCAATTTGCAGAAATTGAATTTGGATTCCAACAAGCTTACCAACATCTCACAGGAAACTGTGAATGCGTGGATATCATTAATATCCATTACCTTGTCTGGAAATATGTGGGAATGCAGTCGGAGCATCTGTCCTCTATATTATTGGCTTAAGAATTTCAAAGGTAATAAGGAAAGCACTATGATATGTGCAGGACCTAAGCACATCCAGGGCGAAAAGGTTAGCGATGCTGTGGAAACATACAGCATCTGTTCTGAAGTCCAGGTGGTCAATACAGAGAGGTCACACCTGATGCCCCAAACTCCCCACAAGCCTCTGGTTATCCCGAAACCTACCATCTTCAAACCGGATGCCAGCCAACCCACCCTGGAAACACCAAGCCCTTCCCCAGGGTTCCAGATCCCTGGCACAGAGCAAGAGTATGAGCATGTTTCATTTCACAAAATTATCGCAGGGAGTGTGGCTCTGTTTCTCTCGGTGGCCATGATCCTCTTGGTGATCTATGTGTCTTGGAAACGCTATCCAGCCAGCATGAAACAACTCCAACAACACTCTCTCATGAAGAGGCGGCGGAAAAAGGCCAGAGAGTCTGAAAGACAAATGAATTCCCCTTTACAGGAGTATTATGTGGACTACAAGCCTACAAACTCTGAGACCATGGATATATCCGTCAATGGATCTGGGCCCTGCACATATACCATCTCTGGCTCCAGGGAATGTGAGGTATGAACCATGATCCTCCTAAAAGCATTTCTACTGCGGGGAAGGAGAGGTAAATGTTTGAAGCTCTAGAGGTGTCTCTAATCACTAGAAAGATTAATGACCCTTTTGCTTTGGGGTTTTGCTCAGTGTGAAAGGTTACTTAATTAAATTACAACCACCAGGAAATTGACTGCTTTTTTTTTTTTTTAATGGTTGAAACTTGAAGGAAGTTCATTCAAGGATGAGATTAAGTTGGAATAAAGCATTATGTTAAAACACCTGCTTTTTTTTTTTTTAAACAGTTTGTATACAGGGGTTGGACTTAAACACACACACACACATACACACACACACACAGATGAAACTCTTTTCATTCTGAAACTTATGTCTGGTTCTTGGTATTTGACTTTTGTCATGGAGTAAAGAAGGAGGGACCAGCTTAATTTAAAAACAAAGTAAGCTTACCAAAATTTCAGGAGGTAACAAAGAAGATTTAAACCAAAGAGCACTTTACCCAAGGGTTGATTTTTGTTGTAAATCTTCAGTTTTAATTAAAGCATGCAGCAGGGATCTCATAGCCCTGTCACTTGCCATTTAGTTATGATACCAGCATAGAGAATGTCAGAGGCCTACTGTGTAATTGTATCAAGCTATTAAGGATCCTTCCTTCCTTCTTTCCTTCCTTCCTTCCTTCCTCCCTTCCTTCCTTCCATCCCTTTTTATTATTATTTTTTAAATTACTGGGGACATAGATCACTTTTTGAAGTTGTTTTTTTTTGTTGTTGTTGTTGTTAAAGTGCTGACTATTTGTGTGAAATGAGAATGAAACTTCAATTCCAGTTTTGGCTCTGTCCTGGTAACTGATATCAGGAACAATGTTGTGGATGATTTAGCAATAACATAATGACAGGCATAACAGGAACTGTTTGTCAGTTTTGCTGTCATCCCCCCCCCCAAAAAAAAAAAAAAAATGACATGTGGTCTTGTTAATCTTACCCAAAATTAAGTGATGCAAATATTTACAAATAAAAGGAATAAGGCTTGTTTTGGGTATCTATCCCTATGTGTAGAAGCCTTGAACAAAGGTATGCTTTTCATGATATGCTATTTTTGTATACAGGAGAATAAATTCAGACCCAGTTTCGATTATTTAACTTTGAAAATCATTTATAGGACTGTGTTAATGAGTATAAAAGTAGTCACAAGCTTTTTACTTGTCAATAAATGACACTGGATGTAACTGTTCTTTTCTTGGTAAAACTGATTATAATGTGCAAAGACTCTGACTTCCCAGGCCTTGTTGCTGGAATAAACTAGTGAAGACAGGTTGTGCTCTGGCAATATGCTCTTTTAGTATCTGATTTTAGATGATTTCTTTTTCAAAAGAGTTTTACTAAGTATTTAAAGACTTTGCCCTTTCTTAGTTATAACAGTTGGAAAACATGATTTTCTCTTTGATAATATATATCAATTTTTCCATGATCTTAAATACAAATGCTATTGAAAATGTTTTCAGAGAGAGCACTGAATTTGAAACAATATCCAACTCAGTACAAAAATTTGGACTATTGAACTGTTCTCCACAGAATCTATTTTCTCTTTTTTTGTGTGTATCATTGAAAAGAAGAAACGGAATCTCAGATAATAAATCCCTGAAAAAAATCTGTATAAGCAATTGCCCTTAAAAATAAAGAGAATAAAATATTTCTATAAAAGTCTAACAAGGCTTGATGTTTTTCTTGCAGGCCCACATTGATATAATGCAATGTGAATCTAAGTAACACAAAGTTGTACTCTTTTATTCTGGGTTCTCCTTGTATTTTGTGTTCCTCTTAGAGGATAGTAACAGAAAAAAGAAAAGGAAAATCCAGGTCTATTCATTCGTTTACTCTTGACTTCTGGAATAGAATGGTAATCTTTATCTAGTGAAATCACCAGAAGGAAAAAAGATTCTTAAAAAAATTAGGACCTAAAACAGGTGTCCTAAAAGTGTTCCAGCATTTAAATTACACAGGATATTCCTTTAAAATTCTAGGCATTACCATGATAGGAAAAGAAAAAAGAAAAACTCTGGTACTACTGTGTATTGCATAGCTGGAGTATGAGGTTGTGAAATTGCTCCAGCATTGTTGAGAATGAAGTGGTTATTAAGGCATTAAAGAAGTAATAATTCTATTAACTATTGTAATGATGCCATTGAGTCAAAAAGTTTGGTCTGTGCCAGATCAAACTCTCCATGAAGTAAAAAGTGGAAAATGGTAGGCTATATGTTTAACCCTATTGCATTCACTAGGGAAGGTACAGGAGTGCCATCAAACTATATGTAGATGAATATTAACTTGTTTTGAAACACATATATATTAAAGCAAGCAACACAGCCAATTATATCCCTTTTTGACAGGGTGTTCAGTTAGAAGTGGATAAAAAAAATAAGGAAAAGCAAATTCTAAGAAATGGTTATTACAAAATCCCCAGTTTATCCTGACTTCTTTGTCAACCCAACAAAAATTTATTCCTATTGAGAAACATCCCTGGAGAGAAAACTTTTCTACGAAATGGAGTCAAGAAAGAGGAATGGTTTTCCTAAGTTTAAAATTATTTTAGGAAGAGTAAATGTATGTTGAATTTGAACTCAGCATTGTTCATAAATTTCAAATACCAATAGCTTAGAAGCTGAAGAACAATTAATCTATTTGTAATACAATTTTATCAAGTAGTTTTTTTAATTTAAATGCCAAATTCTACCCAGTAAAGCCATAAATATTTTACTAGAAATTGTAGCAACAAGTGTTAATTTTCTAAGATTGTGCCTTTAAGAAAAAAATTGCATTAAATTGAAAATTTCACTTTCTACTTAATTTTATATTCAGTTATGATAGTGTAAATATAGTTAAAATATTCATTTATCTGTTTCTTTAAAAGTAGAGAGAGGTATCAAATTTCGTTATTCAAATGACATCTATAAGCAACTGCATACGTATAACATGCGATTTTCGAATTAATTAATTGTAATTATTTAAATCTTTGTAAGTTTTAATTATGAAAAGCCCACATGCATGTATCATACTAATAAATTGAGAAGAAATCTTATAATAATTTAGGCAGTAAAATTTCTCATATCTATAAAAGAGGAATAGAGTAAGATAGTTATGAATAATTAATATGATTAATGGAACGAGTACAAGAGACACATATATCTCAATCATCATACTTTGAGTGGATCAGTGTGCTTGGCTGAACTGAATCATTTAATTTGTCCTCAGTAAGTATTCAGAAAAGAAAACTGAAAGCTCAAAAGATACCCCTTTGCTTAAAAACTTAGGTGGGTTATTGAAATTGGAGAAAATTGAAATATTTACTTTTGGAAATAGATTATGAACTTATAATTATTATTATATTTATCTCATTAAAATGTTCATATATCATGAAGTTATGACAATCTGTACACCAAACTTTTCCTTAGACATTGTGAAGAATGAAATTTTGACTACTTGATTCTTCTAGGATTTGTTTTATCAACTGATTATAACAATACATTTATAAAATTAGCTAGTGTGAATAGAGGACAAAAGATGTTTCTAGGGTTTTTTTATGTTTAAAAAAAGTACAAATGGTGAAATGTTAAATGAAAGTAGACTCTAGACATTCAATAATTGAAATGTAATATTTTATTTTTCCATAATACAGCAGCACTACTATTTAAAAAATGGCAGTAGAGGTGATAATTTAGGTATATATTTTCCAAATATTTGACATTTTGATTTCATTCTTCAAAGTAAGTATGATAAAAGAACATATTTGTTGACAGGTTTGAACTTCAGGTACTTCTTTCACTACTGCAGTGGGTGGTAGAGGCCAATTTACACTTATGTTTATTGAAGGCATTAAAGCAAGTTTAAATTATTGATTTCATCGTACTATTGACTTTTTTGGACACTTTAGAAGTTGTCATTTTACAGTGTCCTTAATGGATTCCCAAGGACTCTAAGGCAAGTTCTCTGTTAAAAGAGGATTCTGAGTGAAGCAGATCCAGTATTGAATTTAACTAAGATTTTATCAATAACATGCTACAGAAAATGAACTTTATTTTTGTGGCTGAATACTGTATCACAATAGAATGTTACAATTGAAACTATATATATTCACATAGGATATATTTATATGTATGCAGATGTGTGATTTATATGTGAGTTTGTGTTTATATGCACATATGTAATTGGAGCAGGGGACACAAGAGGACAAAGAAATATTAATATTTTTTCATTAGAATTAATGTCCACTTTGAACCTTTTGAAAAATTAGTTTAAAAAAGAATATTGGGCTACAAAATAACATGACTTGTTAGTTAGGATTATACTTCTTAGGTTAAACATTTTATTATCTTAAATAGTACCTTTCATCTTCATAGTCCAAAGTTCTTTTTAAAATAATTTATGGTAGTAAATCTGTGTCATATTGTCATTGTTGGTGTGACTTTGGGTTAGTTACTTAATTTCTCTTTGACCCGTCACTCAAATGAGTGTATGTTGAAGACTAGCACTGTATTTCCCAACCCAAAGCAATCCTTAGATTAGTAAATCTTGTAAAATTTCTATAGTAATTTTCAGGACTAAAATAGCAACATGAGATATTGAGGGAAAATGAGCTATTATGTTAATTTGTTGATAAGAACAAAAAAAACTTCTTGAGTTATTAAAAATAGGTATGTTCAGGTGAACAGTTGTGTACTGTATCCATGCTTTGGGGAATATGTAACACACATACACAAATGCATGAGCACATGTGCATGTGCTCACAAATACTTCTCTCTTAAATTCTGCCAAGGAGCTAGTTGTTGGGAAAGCACTTAAAGCTATAACTGCTTTTTAAAAAATTGACTGTCAGAATTTGATCCAATTAAAATCTCTTTTTGAGTAGCATTTTCATTAAAATTTGCAAATGGTAATGGTGAAGAATGACAGCTGCCAAAAAGGTCTGACATGGCTAAATTAGGAAAGATTTTTATACTGACTGAAACTGGTTCAATTATTTTTTTCTAGAATTAGCTGGAATTTGCATCTTGTGGGCAAAGTTTGAATAATTGGGCACTGTCTAAAGACTCCAAACTGTGAAGTCTGACTACCATTTAAGGAATATATGGCTTTGAAAAACAACCTCATAATCTCCACATGATTATAGAACTTCAATTTGTGAGACTTTTCTACACTCAATACAATCTGATCATTCTTAGTTCTTCCCAAGAATTGCATTTACAGACAGTTTTAAACTTTAGAAGTTGCTCAGTCATATTATCATTGGAACTTGGTGACTCATCTGAGTTTTCATCAGAGTTTATCATGATTCACTAAATCAATGTGAAAGAGTGGCAACCTGTGTATCACAAGACACTGGAAGTTTTGAAAAATCAGTAGTCTTTTGATCAGTGAAAAGCATGAAGTACTGTTGAATATACTTTAAAAATTAAAATTGCTTTTTATAGTACCAGAAGAGCCGTCATTCATGGAGTCAGTTTAATAAAAATCTCAATATTCTTAAAAGGGAAAAGAAATTATGGGGCTATTTTTCTAATGCACTTCATAAGCCATTAAAATTTTAACTGTGAGTTGAGGAAAGTTGGGTAAAACACAATATTTGCTATAGTATCAAAACCACTGATTTTTAATGAATGTCTGCTGACTACTGCTAGACATGTACAAAGGCTATGTATTTAAACTCCTGCACCAGGGTTTAAATAATGCCAAAAGAAATTAATATCTTGATAAATACAAGATGAGTCCTTTCAAAAAATAAAGTATGTGACTTCATCAACTATATTGTAATATTTATAAATACAAGATTTGCAAGTGAAATGAAAGCAAAGCCTTATACACATTACAAAAAGGTAGAAAAAATGGGGAAAATTTAAAAATCTTCAGACATATCTTGTACAAAAATTATGAAGAAGCATGACATATCAAATCAAACAATAAAAAAATACATAACTAAGGTTGTGGTATTTAGAAATATTGTTTGCTCGTGAAAATGAATTATCCTAATATCTTAATGTTACAGGAATGATTCTGTTCAACACAAATATAAAAGTAACTAAAATATTATTGCATTTAATGAATGACATACAATTAAATACCCATATATCATATGTAATTATTTATAAGATGCTGAAATATATATTATATAAAAACACTAGAATAACACACATTTCACTTTTGAATAAACCTAGTTCTATACTAATTTTTCCAGTTCATAGGATTTGTGTCCAAAGCCAACATTCTGGGTAGATACAAAAAAGGGGAATTTAAAGTCATAAAAAAACCCTTCTTGTTGCCTCTGTCATTGCCTCAGTTCAGTCTTTTTCTGAAATTTGGGATCTCCTTACCACCATCTCTTGGAAGGTGGAATTTTCTGCTTTACCCCAGTTTTCCAATTTTTACTGAATTCTCAGACTTCAAAGATAGGGGCAAAGACTTATTCATTAAATCCAGCAAGAAAGATCATCTTATTCCTTGCCTTATATATTGAAAACACATTATTTTCCTAATAAAAATAAGTTACAGTACACATTTTAGTCAAGTTTTAAAATAAAATTGTAAGTTCAAAAGAGAAGTTTCAGCTTCAAAACCTCTAGCACACATGTATAATTTTCATTTTTATCTAATCTGTTAATTATTGGAATCTTCAAATCTCATGGAACTTAAAAATGGAAAAGATTTTTTTATATTGAATATTTATTTTAACTGCCTACTTGTTTCACAGCCTACAAACTAAGTTGAATATTGATAGGTTGAGAGAAGTTGTTCTTTCTTTAGGATCTAGGAAAAGAAAAACTATATTTCAAAATAGGAATACATAGAGTTATGAATTAATTCTATTCAGAAAATTTTATAGTAAAAGGAAAACCACATGGACACTAATTTTGGCATAACAAATGATACAGAGAAGGAGAAAAGGTTTTGTTCTGAAAAGGTTATAATACTTACTTCATCTGAACTCTATATTTTTACTTTAAAGGATTAACAATTGTTTAGCTACCTTCTTTTAAAAATAAATGTCATTATATAAAGCAATGAAATTGCACAGATAGTATTAAAACAAACAAGCAGAAATAGTCTTTGAGTATAAGTTCAATACTTTCTTTTTCAATTTTTCCCTCCTCCTTCAAGTCACACTTACTGACTCATTGGTTCTTTCTTCTACTCCTAGACATCTACATAATTGAGGTGTTGAGAATTACATAAAGGTGATTTTTTTTATTTATTGTAATAATTCAATAAATGTATGAAATACATTTATGTTCAAATGAATCCCTAACTATATCACTTGTTTATTACATCTTCATTTTGATCATGATGCATCTCACTATTGAAATATTTGATATTTATAAATTTATATTGACACCAATAATCATCAAGTATTTCTAAAAGACTAGAAAAAATGAAAAAAAAAACCAAATTAATTATATCTAAGTTTTTTTGGTTACCTTAGATGAAAAATTGATATTCTCTTCTGTGTTTATAGATCTGTAAAAGTAATAGCAGAGAGGTCAGCCTTGAAGCCCTTCAGGTTGATGGTCTAACCACAACATGGACTGATACTGCATTGGTCCAGTGGTTGGATCAAGGGTGAAAGAGAGGTCTCATATTTGAAACTGACTCACTTTACTTCTCTAATATTGGACAAGTAAATATATATATCTGACCTTTCTCTGATATAATTTTTCTATCTATTGAACTGGGATAATAACTTTTCAAGTAACTTGCTGAAATGATTAATGAGGTATTATTTGAAAAAACACTCTGAACTCCTTTCTAAAAGAGTCAGTGTAAATATAAATGATTATTAACTATATGCCCAACTATCTTCTAAAAAATGCAAAATTCAATGTGGCTGTATTATTTTCATTGTTATTACTAGTTATATAGATGCTTACAATCCTCCCTGATGTAGAAACAAGTATTGTGGTTACATTTTAACTGAGGTGAATAATAAACCTGAACTTTCAGTCCCTTGTCTGAGCTATAATTCAGTTTGGGTGTCGGACAGTAATATTTAATAATACCTCAAGATTTGTAAAATATTCCCTTGGTTGAACATTTTATTCACCTTTCTCAGAAAGCAGCATTATAATTCTTTTATCGGTACTAACTCTGGAGATGAAATGGGTTATAGAAACAACTTATAAGTTCTCAGTCTCATCAAATATTGCTCTTTCAGTTCATTTTCTTAACAAGTGAAGGAAGTCTTAATGCCTCAAGTGTTTATGGATCTCAAACAGTGATTTTCAACAATATATGGAACAACTCTTATGGATTAAAAAGTTAATAACTAACTTCAAGAACTGATAATTCTGTAGCATACACACACAGTCATTCATGGCTTAAAAACAGTGATGTGTTCTGAGAAATGCTTCTTAATGGAGATTTCTCATTTCATCATTGTGTGAGCATCATAGAATGCACTTAAATAAACTAAGATGGCTAAACTGTCACTGGGGAATGTAATCCAATGGACCACCATCATGTACTCAGTACTGTGTCAACTGAGATGTTGATATATAGCATACAGCTCTGTGTGTGTGTATACACACACACACACATATATATATATATATATTTAATGCTTTGATGTGTGTAATATTTATATTTGTTGAATATAAACTGAGTTCTTAATTGTTGCAGAAACACGTATTGCATCATTCTTATTTTTGTGTCCTTTTAAGGTGAAATACGTTTTTAAGTTTCCTCATGGACCATTTCCCATAATACCTTTGTGTGCTATTAAATAGAGAAGCAACAGTGGGAAAGATCCTTAGCAAATTCAAAATCTATACAAACAAAAAAAATAAAATAAGAATCTTCTCTTTGCTAGAAAAGACAAGGGGTATGCTTCGTGATTGGAAAAGCAGATTTATTCCAGTATGGGGAATTCTGCTCGTTGATATGTCTATTATAATTTGATTTTCTGGAATTGAGGAAATAACCACAGGATGGGTTCAGGGATCCACAGCTCACTATGAGATGTACCTGAGCTAAAACTCCAGTCATCACCTGACCTCCACAAGTTTTTACTCTGACCGGAGGATCACAATGATGTTTTGGATCATCAGATATTAGTGTTATTTCAATAATTGTCTAGAAAGCCACCAAATACAATCACTTCACATTACTCAATGCACAGTCAACTTGGAAAACTGCTTCAGATCCCTTTGGGGAGGGCTTGGAGAAATAGGAACACTATAATTTTGGAAAAGGTAGCAGATCTTTTTTTCAATGGGATCTGGCCTCGGTTTCATTCAATGTGTTGTATGTTTGTCAGTTGGCTAGTGTCTGGGAATAGCTTGTGGAGTTGTGATTCTCTCTTGGTGACTCAAGTTAGACTTTAGTTAATTCAACGTGGAATTCATGTGCTTATCCAGAGCAAGTATGAATTTAGTAGACTGCCCATGCACTTCTTTTCTAGGGACAATGTGATCATCTAGCCAGCATCTTCTGTCTCATGTGAACCAGGCTATTCTTATGGCTTTGACTTTGTTATCATCCTGGTAAGCATGCCTGTCTTGTCTATGGTGATGAAGAGCTCAGCCAGGACTGTAAAATCCTGGATCCTATTGTTTCCATTACATTTAAGGATCTCAAATTCAACTGTTCCCACTACAGTTTCTGAACTATACAGAGCAACCACAGAATTGATAACCCTAAACTTTCTTTACGCATTTTTTTTCTCCCTATATTGGGTCATGGCCTTTGGTACTCTAATCAGAACTTCCTTTCATTTTAATTTTTATTTAATTTTGAGAAACATTGCTTAAACCAGGCAGGGCAGTGCACACCTAGAATCCCAGTGACTTGGGAATTTGAGACTGGAAGATCCCAAGTTCAAGACCAGCCTCTTCAACCTGGCAAGACTCTGTGTCAAAGTAAAATTAAAATAGGACAGGACAGGACAGGAGATGAAGCTCAGTGGTAGAACACCCCTGGGTTCAATCCTCAGTACCAAAACAAACAAACAGTAGCAAAATACTGCCTAGATCCCAACTTTGTAACTTGTGACAGATTGAAAACTTTAGATATAAAATTTTAACCTTTTGCAAATTACAATTCCTTTTGCTCTCTGTCCACCCATGATGCTCTTTTTTCAAATGACTGGAAAGTAAGAGATGCTTCAGAATCAGTTTCCAACATGTTTTCCCTTCAATTTTGGTATTACATCTTTTTCTTTTTAATAAGTACACACAAGTGCACATATATGAGTCTCCAGCAAAAAATGAAGATGCACAAAGATCACTGGGAGAGAAAGTAATTTTCATTCTCTTTCTCATTGAATTTTTTCTGAAACTTTATTGAAAAAGTTTTTATTATATTTGGTATATAATAAATGGTGATTTATTATATACCAAAATATATCATTATATAATACAATGTTGTCAAACTCATTTCCACCCTACTCATAAAACAATTAGAAAGACACAGTTTATTCTGAAGTTTGAATGCATATAATTTTGTGGATTGACTTGATGTGTTTTATTTTCCACTGCTTTCTAATTATAAAATAAATTAATGCTTCCATACAAAATTTTGAAATGTTGAACACCTGAAATTATTTATAAATGAACAAAAACTGTTACCAAAAAACTGTAATATGCAAAGATACTATTTTAGATTTTCTCCTATCATATGTACAGGTATGTGAGTATGGAAATTATACAAAATTATTTGGTATTGGAAACTATGTAAGTTTGTAAACTGTTTCTTTAAAATTCACATTTTGTGATAAATAGGAGTACTTATTAAGTATTTTTTTAAATTTTATCCCTACAATGTGCCATGTTTTACTTAAGCATTTCTTTTTTTTGGTGGACAGTTATGATGCTCTGTTTCATTGTCATAAATATATCTTAAATGAATTCATGAATATACATTCTTAGAAGAAGAAAAACTTGGCCAAAGGTAATAAAAGTTAATCATATTGCCAAACTTTTTAAAAATGTGTACTTTTTTGTATTACCCCAAGTTTTAAAAGTTTCCATTTTTTATCATTTTATAACAAATTGACAGGTTATTTATTTATTTATTTGCAGTACTGAGAATTAAATCCAAGGTCTCATGCATGCTGGGCATGTATTCTACCACTGAGCTGTATTCCCAGCTGGACAGATTAGTTTTAGTGTTTATTTTTTTAATCTAATCTAGTAGAGTCTTTTTTGAAAAAATGATTTGTGTTATTGGATTTTTTATTTTGACGTATACCATATTAACAGTTCTTGAGATCCAAGATCCAAAATAATAAATTTAATTATAATTTTTAAAAATGCTTTTGTTTTTAAAAGAACTTCCCTGTCATGGGTATAGCAAACATACATTATGCTTTGATCATTTCCTCTACAATGATTTACTTTACATACTATACAAAAGAAAGAACTACCTTGTTTTTCGCACCTAATAATTATAATTTTTCAAGGATGTTTTATATGACAGTAATATAAAATTTTCATACATCCAAATCATATTTGTACTTTCAGTATTTCCCATGGGATTCACTTTCTATCATTTTGTCATTCATGTGTCCTTAAACAACATTAAAATTTTACAATATGTTTTAATTTTTATAATAGTTGTCCTTGATTCAACCAGCAAATTATACATGTTTTTAACTATATTGGTTTATCTTCTGTATTTTATTTGAGGTAAAATTTTGTATCTCTTTTTTCTCCCATGAACACACACATGTTATTTTAATTATGAATATATAAGCCTATGAATTCATTCTTAGATGATGGAAATCTTTATAATTATTATAAGGAATTCTTAAGAATAGTATAAAAATGGCTCTATTTGTATCATATGCTCTATTTGTATCATGACTCCAGAGTTGATATGCTTTATTTTAAAATTCTAAGATATAAAATATATACTTCTATAGGTATATGTAGTTATCAATATTTTGATTATATCTATTAAATTGATTAAAATTTTTAGAATACTATTACATAATTATGATGGTCTGGAGCAGCTATTTTTATTCTTAACATAATGAGACTGCCTATTGTATTTCTTCCATTTTATCTTTCTTTGTTTCTTTTTTTTTTTGGGGGGGGGGTTATTGGGGACTGAACCCAGGGACCCTTAATCCCTGCACCACATCCCCATACCTTTTTATATTTTATTTTGATACAGGGTCTCTGAGTTGCTTAGAACCTCACTTAATTGCTGAGGCTGGCTTTCAACTTGGGATCCTGCTGCCTCCAACTCCAGAGCCACTGAGATTACAGGCATGCCCCATGCACCCAACTCATTTTATCTTTCTATTTATTCATTTACTTATTCACAAAAAAAATATGTTTACCTATATCAGTAAAACTGGACTTAGTCCTATTTTCACAACAATGGAAAAAAATCACTTTGTTTAGCCATATCTAATTTACCACAATTATCATAAATAAAATCACATTATAAAATCCAGATTTAACCAGAATGGACACTAAATTTTATTAAAGGAAGTAAAATTTGTTGTTGTTGTTATTGATGAACCTTTATTTTATTTATTTATTTACATGTGGTGCTGAAAATTATTCAATTATTCAAACATGGTAGGCAAGTGCTCTACCGCTGAGCCTCCACCCCAGCCCTAAAGGAATTTTTGTCGTCATGTTTTTATTTTCTTGTGAGGCATACCTTTTTATCATACATCATAATTTTTACATTATAAATTGTATCTTTTTTATTTTATAATATCACATGTTTTTTGCATTTATAGAATAATATGGTCATTAGTTTGTTTCTTTTTTTTTTAGATTAGTTCTCACAGTTTACTATTTGTAATTTTTATTATTCAAGTAAGGGCACTCAACATTATATTCTCTTTATTAGTGAATAATTTATAGTTGTTTGTCTTTTTCTAGTTCTAATGGTTAAAATAGTGCGCAAATTGTTTTTTTTTTCCTTGAAATATGTAAAATATACACCAAAAGCTGCCTTTGTAAAGCCCCTTATTAGATATATTGAGAAAATATTATAAATTTTATGTCAAAGTTACTCTTAAATATCTTTTCTGGTTATGTGTTTGTTCATTCAATGGAGTATGGACCATGATGCTGAAAATTGTAAATGAGACTCATGAGCTCTTGCATCTGTACACACAACCCAAGTAAGATGTTTGGATCATTAAATGTATTTTTTTCCTTAAAATGTTAAATTCTTTCAATATATATTTTTCCTTTAGTCTTGCTTTTTGCATATCACTTTTGTTCATTTAATCTTGCTTACAATTGCTAATGATCTTAAGGTCTGTAGACTTTTTTTTTAAAGACCCTGAGGAGAATTTCCTTCAAATAACAGATAATATTATCTATGTTCTATACTACCCATGTCTGAATGACTCCTATCAATACTCTCTTTCTAGGTAAATTTACCTTACTAGTTACTTTTCTCTCTCTTATATAGCCAAATCATTTCTTTGACCTGGATCAGGGGTCAGCAAACTCTTTCTGAAAACACAAGGTAGTAAATATTTTAGATGTTATGGGCCATATAGTCTAGGGCACATCAACTTTGCGATTGTAGCATGAAAGAAGCCATGAAAAATGTAGAAGAAATGAATATAACTGTGTACAAATATAAAGGCTTATTTACAAAAACAGGCTGAATTTGGCACATGTGCTGGTTTGCTGACCCTAGTTTATATCACTTTCATAACTATTACCTTTCAAAAACGAAAAAAAAGATTTTTCCCACAACCTGAATTCCTATTCTACTCCATCACTATCTTTTCTCTCCCTTTCTTAGAAATAATTCCAGAAGATTGTACTCCAATCTGAATTTCCCCATCAATTGCTCAATTTCAATTTCTTTAACCCAGTTGCCACTGACCTCATTATCATTAAATTTGATAACTATTTTATGCTTGACTTTACTTTGATATTTCAATAATATTCAACACTGGATATGTTCTTCCTTCTTCATATGTTCTCCTCTTTGGGCCTCTAAATGTGAGAATTACTTTCCATTTCCTTTGTAAGCTCAAATTCCTCTAAGTATTACATTTTCCTTATTACTGCTTATTTGTTCTCTCTCCTTCTACTACTAAATCATCTCTCTACCCCTCTTTCTTAGTCTTTCTCATTTGCAAATATGGAAAAGATGATAATTTATTTACTAAAGATAAATAGGGTATTGATTGCATGTCTTCTCTATGGTCCCCACATATATGCCAATTCCTTATTTACATCTGAATTCAGATATTTTAGAGACCGCTTAAAGTCCCTTTCCATATACAAACTAGGATCTTTCTTTCCAAATGTGTTTTTCTTCCCAAGTCTCTTGTCTTTCAAGTGAAGCTGCCAATTTAGGTAATTCAGTTGTAGGAATTCATCTTTGACCCTTTCCTTGCTCTCCCACTCCTGAAGTAACCTGCCTTAGCATCCAGTTGATTTTTACCTCCTGAATATCTTCAACTCCACTCGTTGCTCACTACCTTTATTAGTGCCTCCTTTTTGTCCTATTTATTCTAACTCATGTTTTGTTTCATCAGATTTGCTTTCTGGACTGCAGACAAGGTACAGTCTTTCAAAACAAATGCTTAGTCTCTTCCTCTTCCTTTATTTATTTAAGCCCTTTAGTGGAGCCCTGTTCATTAGAATGAGTATCTAAACCATTAAATAACGAAAAAAAAAACAAACAAAACAGGATAATCTGGCTGTGCCTTCCCATACATTCACACCACTGTCTCCTTGCTCTCAATTCTGTATCCAAGGAGTCCTCTGCACTCTCTGCACTCGCTACCTATCTTGGTATAAAGCCCCACTCCACAAAGGTACTCACCTCTTCCCCATACTTTCCATTCATCACCTCCCAAGGAAGCAATTGCTAAAATCCTAGTGTGTTTAAACTTCCCTGTTTCCTTCTTGTTCATCACCATCTAATTATCCTGTGTCCTCACGTGTGCAAGTGAGATTATAACTTTTATAATTATCCTCACATGTGCAAGTGAGATTATAACTTTTTTTCACAATGATTTCTTTAATATCTGTCATTCTTACTTAAATCTTATATGCCCAAAGGAAGATGATTTAATGATGATGTTTATGTTGAACTTTAAAACAACAGTAACTCACTCCATATCTTATATATATAATAGGAATTTAATAAATATTTTATAATGAATAAGTAAATGCATTCCCAAATTTTATTTCTTCGTAATTTTTAGCTTTTTAACCATGAATAGATCATCTTCTTTAAAAATTTCTTGATAAAATTAGTTTAGAGAGTTTAGTAAGTTTGCTTCATTTTTTAAAGTACAAAGCTATCGATTAACTAATTTTGATTTGATCAGTTTTTAATATATACATATTTATTACAAACTGTTCTCACTAATATCTTTTAAATAAAAATGTATGTTCAAAATGAGAAAATGTGTGAAACTAAAAATGAAGACTACCTTTATATATTTTTCTTATCATTTTCCTCATATATGTGTGTATATGTATTATTATTACCCCCAAATAATGTAGGTGTTCATTTTAATTTATTATATTTTGAGAATTTTCTGTATCAATAAGCATTCATGTATATATAATTTTAGTGAATTATGTTACTTTACTGTACATGGGTTCCAGTTCTATTTTGTTGGCTATAAAAATATTTGGGGAATAAACATATGCAATATGATCTTTTGAACTTATATTTTTCCAAAGTACTTGATGATTCATAATTTATCATGACATTTCAATTCATCTTCTCCATTTAAAAATTTTTAGGTGTTTTTCCTTTTTGGTGATATGTTTCAGTTAAGCTCAAATGTATTTTCTTATTCTTTTGATATTGGCCACTTTGAATATTAATGAAGCATAAAACTACTTTTTATATTGTATATTCTAATTTCTATAATTTATGTTAATTTTCTTTGCCTGTTCACAATTTTGTTGACTAATAATAGAATTTAAATAGTTTATTAATTCTTTTGCTTCAGTAAGCATAATAAAGTGTTTTATTTTCAGTGAAATTTTTGCTGTATAGTAAGAAAATTATTTTTATTCATTTAATTTATTCTATTTATATTATAATTTCTTTGTTGCATGATACCAAAGTTCCCTATAGGACATATTAAATAAATATTCACTTTTGTTTTCATTTAATAGTTTCATGATGATTGTTTTTTATTTATTTATCATTTCAGCATGAAAATCATTAATTCAACTAACTTTTAAACATTTCTCCAAACTCATTTGTCATTTAATTGCAATGATTACATTTTATTAATTTATAAAGCTGTCAGTAGTTACTTATATAAACATATATTAACATTAATATTTTGTGCATATATATTTATGTAGTGTGAGCATGACTTACATTTTCACATATGTATTCTACATATATACAAATATGTATAAAGACATACTCTTCTGTTAAACTTTTCAACTTGCTGGTGGTTTTGCTATGCAATTTTAGTTAATCAAGTAGATTGAATTATGTTTCATTGTTATTATTTAAAGGTTTTTTTGGCTATAATTTTCAACCAATTATTGAAAAATATAAATATATACATGGGGTTCATTCCTACTATGGTGTTTCTATTGCCTTTTATCTTCTCCAAAAATATAATCTAGAAATATGTATTCTAGCAAAACTCATTGTTAATACTCTGTTTTGTGTTCTTCTGAATAGTTTCTATGAATATATTTTTCTTTTCTAATAATATTATACGAGCTATATTCACCTAATT